GACGATATAGGAGGGGACGGGCTCAACTAAAGCTCATTGTTAGGCAGGTGATTTATGAGTGTACAGGGGCGCCTGGGCGCTGGCATTGGACGGATAGATCTTCTGTCGCTATAGCACCCCTCGGCCTTTTGTGTTCATTGTTCCCAAACAGGGCTTGGGTGGGGGTGGGGGGGGGGTCTATGCAGATGAAAGTGGGTGGAGGGATGGACAGAGCGATCGCTGGCCGAGTACTGTCATGCGAACGCAGGGCTAAGGCTCTCACATCTTCAGCAGCAGACAGCAGCACAGATCAAAGACTCCACTGTTCCCTCCACTGTCTAAAGCAAAGAACCTTTGAAAACTTCCCGCAACATTTGAACAAAAGGCACATCGTGCTTCTGCAACACAAGCATCCCACCGAACAGAATCTGAATCTCAATCACCAACATTTTTATTGTACCCACTGTGCAGGATATTGCCCCAAAATGGCGTCTAAGTGTATATGTTAGGCAGCAGCCGTGGGCAGGCAGATTAGGAGCCTGGTTTATGTGAAATGAGGTCACCAACTCTTTTAGCTRCAAACAGACATGGTTCTCTGAGTGCTGTCTGCCTGTCTCTGTACATAGAACTGTCACCATTCACCACTTGACCTTTCAAAGCCTTGCTGATAACGCTCCCTCTGGCTAAAATCAATTACCACAAGCCAACATGATATTAAACGTAGAAAGGGTATGATCTTAGCGTGTGGCTGATCACATTGGGGCAATGAAAAGATGGAGATTTTGAGGCTCCCAGGTCCATGTCACTGAATCTGAACAAATAATTTCATCAGACCYGCTAATGGAGTGTCTGACCGCATTGTTCCTGACTTTCCTCACATGATGGCAAAGCGTAGACACTATTTCTCAACCTTGGTGGCCATTCAGAGTGTCATTGTGACTGCCGCTGAGAGCTATGCTTTAAAATCAACAAACCAAAATGGAGGGGCTTTATAAAAATTGTTGATCATGACAGACTGAACATAAAGTGCTGTGCTAATAAGTGTAAGCCATCTACAAGAGCTCGAGATAATTTGGCTCGTGTTTATTTGCTGCACACTCAGCTGCCTGTTTTAATGAGCTGATAATAACGATAAAGACAAATAAAAGCGTTAGTCGCACAGCAATGTTTAGACCTAGTCTGCTCAGAGGTGGGTGTCGAGTAGGGGCGCGCCATCCACATCAGTTTCAGATCATTTGCTGAGCATGCTCATTAGTTGTCTAATTTCATCAAGCCTTATTTATCAGACTCACTTTGCTTTTTTTCTTTCATGACCTCTGCTTTAAATAATGGCAGACCTCATTGAGCCTGGCACAGAGGCTGTGAATCCAAACCCTCAGTTACTGATCCACGGTCAGCTTTAATCCATCATGTAGACTAAACAGTGTGTGCATGTGGGGGTAAGAAGAAGAACAACCTGATGTATTTTTCCTCTAATACAACCTGTCTGTGAGTGGAGTTGGTCTCTTGGCACAAACACAAACTTCAGATATGCCTTCTAACCTCCTACCTTACAGTAAAACTGGTTTGGGAGGTGTTCAATTACAGATGATAGCATGACATTTGAAAATGAAGTAAAATGTGTTTCTTCAGCTGCACTAGTTTTCACAATCGACATTTGTGTTTATGTGTCCGGCGTTGAGGGATGTTTGAGGATGATCTGGCTGTCACACACAAATTAAAAGTCCGTATTACACAAGGCACTTTAAACACATTAATGGAGGAAAGCTGTGAAAGGATTACGAAAATTCAGTTGTCCACAGTGCTGAAGTCAAACCAAGGTTTGGTGAGGTGCCGGGGCTAAGCATATCTAAATAAACTCTGACAAAAGACAAAAGACAGCTTCATCCCTGTAGCTTAGCTATGGTAATTAAAACAAGGAAGTTATATATGCATTAACTTTGTAAAAATCAGCCGAACTGTGATTCTACACAGGRGGGTCAAAAGGCGTTTTTGCATTGTAAGGCTCAGCTTGGCCCACCGCAGCTTGAATCGGCCTGACCTTATTCTGTCCCAGCCTTGTTTGTGTTTGCATTGAACAGAGAGCTGGCTCGATGTGGGTTGGATCATAATATTGAACAGCCACAAATCTTATTTCACTTTATTTGTGACATAACAGTAATAATAATGGACTACACCAAACTCGATGGAAAAGTCTCAGAGACTGTAGGCTACTGGACCATCTAGCAGTACAACGCTTAAAACGAGAGGGCAGGACGACAGAGAGCAGTAAGCTAATGGTAGCTGCTAATGTTAGCACGTTGTTGTTTGATAGCTTGCTACTGTAGCTGTGAGGAAAAACATGAAAAAAACATTAGTCACTGCAAGCAGTTCCCATAAAGTTACTCTTTGTGTGACGTAACTTCCCCGGTCAATGAAGCAGTTGATGAGCAGCAGTAGCTAGCATCAAATCGAGCCAAGCAGCCTGGCCTGATTGGAACCACAGCTGTCAGGGGTTCCAGAAATCGGGGCGGACCTGGGCCATAAGGACTAATGTAATTACACTAAACCTGGGTTTGAAGCCAGACCGGGCCTTGCAGTGCAAATAGGCCTAAAGTGTCTCACTGATCTCCCTGTGAGCCACTTGGAAACAAGACTCAAAGATATTGTTTGAGTCAAAGAGCAACAGAAGCTCCTAATGCTAAAAAAGGTTTATAATCAAAAATTAAAGATGACAAAAGACAAAATCTCTACAAACATGGATGGAAATTAGTCAAAGTGCTCATGCTGATCAGTGTTCACTGTCACAAGCATCTAAATTCAAAATGTGACCTTCATGACCAACTTCAGACAACTGGAAAAATACAAGCATGGTCTTATTAAACAAGTTTTCTTTTAGACCAGCTGGGTCCAGGAGTCAGGCTGACCTGAGTAAGACACAGCACCAGGGTGATTAATGAAATAAGGGAAGCCAGCAAGGGCAGTGCAACGTTCAGGGTTAGCTATGTGCTACAGGGAAACATTGGGTTCTGTAATTCACATGAATGCTACTTAAACTCAACTGGTTAGTGGTCAATTATCATCAACCAAAAATATTCTTAGTGACCAAGTACGTCACTTAATAAAGATTTTATTTTCTTTAAGGCCCCATATACACTGGATGARGAGCTCTCTACAATCTTCATAACCTCCAGATTAGAACATGGTTGGAATTTTGGAAAACCTTCAATYTAAAGGTTATCATGATGCTTCAACACACTTAGTACTCATCAAATAGATATTTTCTACCAATTGCAACATCTTTAAGATGCTCTCTTGCACCCTCACCACTTTTATTTGCCTGCCCTGGCATCACTCCTTTCAGCAATGTTTGACTGTATTACATGGTAGAATATCACACCGTGCTAGGTTGGCACTAAGTTGTTTCCATTACATGTCAGAAAAGCATTTGTACACTTTACATGAAGGCAGTCACCTTTCAAAGTCTTAACCACCAAGCCATGTGGGTGCATAGGTCCCACATTATGAATACACTGCCACCTTGTTACTGTTGAACCACTGCAACTTCACCACATAGGTTTTGTGCATACTCAAAACCACCCTCTGCATGCTTAATTCACACCTGAAGGCCTTGCAAGATCTTTCAAAGACCACTCARGTTTTGGAAGAGTGTTTACATCACAGTGGGGTCATCATCAAAACTGAAGGCAGCCTAAAATACCTGTTTTTTATCAGCATGATAATGCACCCTACCAATCAATAAATATCAGTTATGATCAACAACGGCTTGAGAAACACAAGGACAAGTTTAGTGTTTAATCAGCCTGAGAATCCTTCAAATCTGCATCTAAACACTTATTTGAGGAATCTGTAAAACAAATAAGTCCAAGCCATAACGGCCTGACCATGCAGCTTATAGGACTTAAAGAAACTCCTGAAGTCAACGGTCTATCCAGGCTGTTTTGGCCATATCTATTCAATAACAGGTAAGTAGTCATAATATTTATAACATCTCTTCCATGTAAGTTCAGTAGCAAGCATCGTAAAGATATGCTTACTAGCCATGTGCTCATTTGAATCTATGCATGATGCAATGTTTCAATGCAGAGAGCTCAATGTGGCAGACATATTTCGTATTAAGTACTGCTCAGTAAATCACAGGCACATTTATATGGAGCAGGGAACATCTTTCTGTCACACTCATACAGACACAAAACAGCACTATGTTTCCATTATAGCGAACATGGAGCCGACAGCTTTACTCTCCCTGATTATGCTTTCAAACAATTCTCTTCATTTTTCTTTATCACCAATTTGGCATCGAGCTCTTAAAAATGAATGCTGGTACTGACTCTTTAAAAAAATACAGCCATAAGCAAATGTATAAAGACAGTTAAATTTCTTTACGTATTGCTGTATAAATAATAAATGTGKCTGCTTCTATTGTTGTGGTTATAAAAATCTGTACGAAGTTCAAAAAGTGCCTAATACAAARGTGAGGTCATAGGATTTTACCAAAAGATCAAAAGTCAAATCAAGACTTTTTGTTTATTATATTGATCTTAAACAGAACATTTTTCCCTACGGCTAATAAATCAATGTACATATCAGTGTATTTGTTGCACGCGTTTTTTTTAGGAAATTTTAGGAGTTTCATGGATCTTTAATATTTCCTTCTCCTGCAATGACAGCAATAATAGACACCAGCTCTGGCCTGGACTCTAATGCCCTCCAGATGCTTGCAGGAGCTGGAGGAAAAGCCACATCCAATATAGACAATTTCTGAGACCAGTGGATGAAGGGAGATGAGACGGAATGCCAAGACGTAGCCTATATGAGGAGAAGGTGAAGGGAGACAGAATGAGAGGTTGGATCTCACTTTTAATGACGAGCCACCACACAGAAGATGACTGTACCACATCCAGGATAGGGAGGTTCCGACAATCTGAACAAGTGCAGAGAAATCTCCAGGAGTAATGACGGTGAGCAAACACTGTGGAGACATGGATGCCACAAGATGGTGGACGGTGGCACATTTTTACCTGCATCACCAATTGCTGCCATGCCAGTGGTTGGCTGGTGGAGGGGTTGGGAGGCAGGTTGGCACGCTCGAGCTGCAGGGTGACGTTGCGGCGCTCCTCCTCCAGCGCTCGGGTCAGCTGCTCGAAGCGCGCCTCCTGCTCCTTCACCGAGGCCAAGATGCTGGCAGCCGAGCGAAGGTCGTAGTCATCCATGGGCAGCGTTGGCTGGTGTTGGACAGATCTTCCAAGTCAGGGACGGAGGGAAAAGAGGTGGGGGGGGGGGACCAGGTCATTAAAGACACCCAGACCCAAAAGGCTGGATGAACGGCATGAAGCAGAATGTCTGTTTTCAAAGTGGAACATCAACTTGTGGTGATTTTGGCATTTAGGATAACATCCATATTAATCTACAAATCATGCAAATGCAATAGTTGACTGAACATCTAGAGAGAGAGGGTCATAAATTAACAAATCCATTAACTCTGGCTGTGGTGTCAATGCCAAAAATCCAGAAAGGACATAAATGAACTTTTCCTACATTGGCTGACTAAATAAYGAGGACTTTTCCTCAAGTCCAGCATAGAAAATTTATTAATGAGGAAGCTCAGCTGGGTGCTGATTWTGTTTTTGTTTTCACAACTTTGAGCTTGTCCTATAATTAAGACAATTCTGGCACCACGCATTAAATTCAACACAGTTTTACAATAATTTCGGGGCAGCAGATTGATAGCATAATCCACCAATTTCGAAAACAACACAGAGAATTAAACAGCACAGGATGGACTCCAAAAATTATATAT